GAGTAGTCTATTGGGGTTGAGGATGATGTTAGGAAAAAATCTATTGAGGAGTCTCCTGTCTGGTTGGGACGTGTGGGTTCTTGGGTTGGGTGGAGAATTAGGAATGGTTGGTCTGCCAGCCACCGCTCTAAGCTAATTCCTGACGTGTTGATGTGTTCTGGACGGTACGTGGGCCTATTCCAGGCTGGGTGTTTCGCGTTCAAATCACATCCGATTACGAATTGCTCATGATCCTCTATTTGAGCTAGCGAGTGCATTAGAATGTCCAAGTCTGAGCTTAGTAAAGGATGCTGGGGGCGTAGGTAGAGTGAGATTGCAATTAATCCAGTTCTTATATTGCGTCTGTTTGTATAGGAAATCTGCACTGCCACAGCCTCGATGTATTGCATTTGGTCGATTTTCACTCGTTCGTAACTGAGTCCATTTCTCACGCAGATGGCTACTGCTGTTCCAGGGCTTCTTGTGCTGTTCTGCGTGGATTCTAAGCTTGCTACATGTTGCCTCACGAATTGGTAGTTGGTTAATCCGGCTGAGTGCGTACTTCTCAGATTGTGCTCAGCGAGTAGCATCAGATCTGGCCTGTGTTTGTTTAGATGTTCGTTAAGTTCATTTCGCCTACGCCGTTGAACGATGCCATTGACGTTTTGGAACATGATTTTTACTGGCATTTAGTTGAGCGCGATTTGGATCAGGAAGTCCAGAATCAATTGCTGTTTTCCCTTTTTATCCGAGCTGGAGTTTGGGTATTTCTTAATTAGGGATTGCATGATGTCGAAGCAGGTAAGCAAATCTTTTCCAAATGCATCCACAGAGTCCCCGTTGAGTTGTTCAAATGAAAAACCGGCGTTTTCTTCTGCGGTGTTTGCCTGTTTCTTTTCTTGGCGTGCTCTCGGGTTTTCCTTCACTTGTGTAGGTATCGGCTTGCTTTTGGCTGCTGAGGCGTAGCTTCGTCCCTTTTCAATTCGGCTTTGTAGCTGGACAGTTGCAGCTGCAGTTGCGATGGACTTGTTTGTTTTTTTTTGGGTGTGGTTTCGCCTTTCGGTCATTTTTTTGATGTACTCAATTCGTACTGGGCAGATTTTAGCATTGGCCGTATGATTTCCAGAGCAGTTCACGCATTGGGTTTTTTGTGTGGTATCTTCTTGGCCGTCTTCCTTTTTCTTTAAGGTGCATTGCCCTGGAGCATGTGTTTTTGTGCATTTGACACAGCGGAATGCCATTTTGCAGTTGCTGGCAACATGGCAGAACCGTTGGCAATTGTGACATTGCTTAATTGCGTTTGGGTGCGGCTTGAAACCCTCGATGTTAATTCGGCAGTTGAGGAGTGTTGTTACTTTAAATATTTCGTTTATTTTTTCAGTTTTCTCCACTTGAACCATCCACATCTTTTCCTTGTAAGGCTTTACTGACAGGATGTTTAGCTCAGGCACGGCCTCAACTAGTGCTGTCTTGACCTCATCAGAATCGTACACTTCAAGTGGTAGTTTCCTTAAGATCACTGTGTGTGGCTTAACTTGCTTAGGCGTGAAGCTATAGTACAACACTTTGTTTTTGTTCAACAACTCTTTGGTTAGGTTGAAATCTGCCAATGTGAAGACCTTTACATGTATCACGTTTTTGTTTAGGATGTTGAGAGTAAATTTCTTTGATGATTCCTTCAGGAGTGTTGTTAGGGCTTTGGCGTTTTGCTGGTACGTTACTATGACCGGTAGACCTTTTTCGTTATTGCCATTTTTGGTGGGTATCACGGTCTTTTTCGGTATACGAATTGGCTTAGGTGGTGCTTTGGATGTGGATGTGGGTAGTTTGGGAAATTCCTTATTTTGAACATCCTCCGGTATGGTTTGTTGGGGTTTTGTGTTAAGAATTTGTTTGCTTGCACTAGCTTTTTTTGATTTTTTGGGTGTAGTCGGTGCACCTTCACTTTCCTTCACATCCTCAGGTTTCGTTTTTTTGGGTTTTGGTGTTGTTTTTGGCGTTGTGTTTACGGCTTCGATATATTTTTTGTATTTAATGTGCTCAGCACGTAGAAAATTGAGTTCTTCCATGATGGAATCCATCTCATCGCGGTCCATTATTACGGTATCTTGTTCCGTTTCGCAATCACTTATTAGATCACTTTCGCAATCACTGTCAGAGGTTGATAATTCTGCTCTGGTCCTTTTTACGTTATCGTATTCAGCTTCCATTGCCTCGTCAACGAGCCTAACATCGTCACTGATTGCCGAATGTGCTGCCATTTTGTTCGCTTTTTCCACACTGCAGCCTCCTTTCTCCGGCATATCACATATGTAGAGGCACTCTGCTTCTAGCAGTATATTGGTTTTAGTTGCACAATGTCTGCTCACTATTTTTAAAAAGTTCAGATTTTAGAGGTGCAATATATGCGATTTTCTGACTTGTTACACTTTGATCACGTCAATTCACTTAGTCCTTTTAGTCCTTCACTTCACTTTACTTCACTTGGCCACCTTTACCACGACCAGGCACTGTTTTCTTTATCACTGTTCACACTTGGTACGAGCCATTTTCACTATTCACTTTCAAAGTCTGAATTTGTAATAATCGATCGCGCATCCCGCCACTTACTTATAAAGCATTCTTCTGGTGGAGGGTTGAAACGAGAGATTTGCCGAAGCATGCTATTTCATTTCACGAGCGAGATGCACATATCATTCGGACTCACTCGTGTTTTGATGGTGTTTTGTATAAATACAAGCGATACAAAATGTGGATGGCATTCGTTCTTCGTGTCGTAAAGTGAAACAACATAGTGAAAGAAAATGACTGGTCGTGGTAAAGGTGGCAAAGGCTTGGGAAAGGGAGGCGCTAAGCGTCATCGCAAGGTTCTTCGTGATAACATCCAGGGTATCACGAAGCCCGCTATCCGCCGTTTAGCTCGTCGTGGCGGTGTAAAACGTATCTCGGGACTCATCTACGAGGAAACTCGTGGAGTGCTGAAAGTGTTTTTGGAAAACGTTATCCGTGATGCCGTCACCTACACCGAACATGCCAAGAGGAAGACAGTCACAGCCATGGATGTTGTGTATGCTCTGAAGAGACAAGGCCGCACGCTGTACGGTTTCGGCGGTTAAGAAAATCTGTATAGTCTGCAGTTCAAAAGTAACCATAAATTAAACAATCGGTCCTTTTCAGGACCACAAAATAATCTAGAAGGGAGACATATTTTCAAAATCATGAATCGTACTTGATAATAGTAAAAGTAAAAGCAGAATAATGAAAGAAAAAATGAATTGATTGTCGAGTCATTGATTGCAATACGCAATTCCCATCTACTATGTACATACATATGTATGTGCGCTGCATATAGTGTTTTTCTTTCTTTCAGTCTAAAAGTTCAGCCATCTTTCCAAGATGGGAACTTTTTGATCGAAAGTATTCTCGTAGATAAACTTGGGTAGGTAGGTAAAATTTGGGTTCTTTCTTGGCAAGCAAACATTGAATTTCATCCGTTGTTCAGATGAGTCGGACGCAACTGTACTTTCTTTTAGGCCCTGTACCAAAAAAACACAAATATGTGCATTTTATTTCAACTGATAATAATGAATGATAATAAATTATGAAAATTCTCTTAATTCTTTTGACATAGTTTGGTCGTCCTGAAAAGGACGTTTTGGTTTATATATTGTACAAGAATGTAAATTGTTTTTGCTATTGGAACATTTATGCCTTCTTCTCGGTCTTCTTGGGCAGCAGAACGGCCTGGATGTTGGGCAACACACCACCCTGAGCAATGGTGACGCCTGAGAGCAGTTTGTTCAACTCCTCATCGTTGCGGATGGCCAGCTGCAGATGGCGAGGGATAATTCTCGTCTTCTTGTTATCACGGGCAGCATTGCCAGCCAACTCGAGAACTTCAGCGGCCAAGTATTCCATCACGGCAGCCAGGTAAACGGGAGCGCCGGCACCGACACGCTCGGCATAGTTGCCCTTGCGAAGTAGACGATGAATACGACCAACAGGGAACTGAAGACCAGCACGGTTCGACCGAGACTTTGCCTTTCCCTTCACTTTGCCACCTTTACCACGACCAGACATGTTAATAGATTCCTTTGCTTTTTCACTGTTCACACACGAATGTTGTCCAACGCCACAGAACGCCATATTTATACCTTTTCCGACTGCATGAGCGCTCAACCAAGGGGTGGGTTTTCGCCCGCTACGAAATGTATGTTAAACCTGAACAGACTACTCGAATAAAACTATAAGGTTCTGAGCCCAGTCCGTTCAAACACATTAAGTGTTTTACATAAAGTGAAGTGAAAAATGCCTCCCAAGACTAGTGGAAAGGCAGCCAAAAAGGCTGGAAAGGCTCAGAAGAACATCACCAAGAACGACAAGAAGAAGAAGCGCAAGAGGAAGGAGAGCTATGCCATCTATATTTACAAAGTTCTGAAGCAAGTCCATCCTGACACTGGTATTTCGTCGAAAGCGATGAGCATCATGAACAGCTTTGTAAATGACATCTTCGAGCGCATTGCTGCCGAGGCGTCTCGCTTGGCTCATTACAACAAGCGCTCAACCATCACCAGTCGGGAAATCCAAACGGCTGTGCGCCTGCTGCTGCCGGGAGAGCTGGCCAAGCACGCTGTTAGTGAGGGAACCAAGGCTGTCACCAAGTACACCAGCTCCAAGTAAATTGGTTTCGAACAAAACCCAAAAAGGCCCTTTTCAGGGCCACAAAATGTTCTTCCAAAGAAATTCCATTTTCAATATATAATTTCATCGATATGCAAGAAATATATGCACAATACAATAACAATTTTATTCAATTGCCGACCTCTGAGATACAGCGTCTGTGCGAACGGTTTTTCATACATATGTACGTATTTGATTCGGTTCGGGAAAAATGCATTCCGAATAACTCTTTGAATAACGTTTGAACTGGATGCTAAATATACAATATATCTGTAGCATACTCGTATGTATGCAAGACAAGGCTCGATAATTTGTATCTCTTTTGAATATAGTTTTGTAGCCCTGAAAAGGGCTTGTTTAAATCAATTTCAGACGGATACATCTAAAATTTCGAATGCGACCTTGTACACCAACGTGTACAGTTTCACACTTTACTTTTTGGCCGCCGTCGTCTTGGCTTTCGGCTTCTTTACAGTGGCGGGAGCTGCTGGCTTCTTCGTTGTCTTCTTGGGCTTGACAGATGCCGCTGCAGCTACAGCCTTTGCTTTTGGCTTTGGCTTTGGTTTTGCTGGGCTCGACTTGGCCTTTGTCGCTGCTGGCTTCGCCTTCACGGTTCCAGTTTTCTTCGCATCCTTAGCCTTTGCCTTCTCAGTTTTCTTCTTCTCGGCGGTCTTCTTGGTGGCGACTGACTTCTTCACCTTTAGTTTCTTGTCACCGGCAGCGGCTGCTTTTTTAGGGCTTGCTGTCTTCTTGGTTGCCGCCGACGACGATGACGCCACCTTCTTACTTTTAACTTTCTTCTCGACAGATGCAACCTTTGGCTTAGGCTCCTTTTTGGCGGAAGCCGACAGCTTAAACGAACCAGATGCACCCTTTCCCTTTGTTTGGATCAGCTTTCCATTGGCAACGGCCGACTTCAAGTACTTCTTGATAAATGGGGCCAGTTTCTGGGCATCGCATTTGTATTCGGCAGTAATATATTTCTTGATTGCCAAAAGCGATGAGCCGCCACGTTCCTTCAAGCTCTTAATCGAAGCGTCAACCATTTGCTGAGTTGGGGGATGCGATGGTGGAGCTGTGGGCTTCTTTGCCTTTGCAGTAGCAGCAGCGGATCCAGATGCCTTTTTGGCGGCCACCTTCTTCTCCGCTGGTACTGGTGGAGCAGCCACTGGAGACGCGGATGTTGCAACTGCAGAATCAGACATTATTCTTTACAAAATTACACTTTTCAATGAAAAAACGCCGTTGTGGACCTGGGCTATGGTCCCTCGTTCGAATGAGAAGCGAGTAGAAGGGTAGTACGAAGATGATTTTAGCATTGGTGATTTGTTTGTTAGAAGTTTCATTGAACGTCTGGCTTATTTTTGCTTTTCTATATATAACTATTAAATAATTGAAATATATTTTCATTGATTCATATTGTTAAATATTTCAAATATTACTGTAAATCATTTATTTTGTGAATATCGTCCATCATCGATTTTTAATAATTGTGCAAACTTTGACAACTAGTTATCCAACTCTTATATTTTGGATTCAATGATATTAATAAATAACAATGCTGGCTCATTTTGATAAACTTTTTTTTTAAACATAAAATTTGATTAATTTACTTTAAGAGACAATAAACATATATTCACATATCGTTTAGTATGGTATTTTAAAATCGTTTTGAAGATAACCCTATTAGGTACAAAAAGACCACTTTCTGGATATGTTCAACATTGCAATTTAGGGGTCAAAAAATATAAATGCTTAAAAATATATTGTTTAAAACCATTTTTCTTAAGGAAATGAACACGATTTTCAATTTTATATTATTTCTGATCCATTTTTGCCAATATTTACCCATAAATAACATACTTTCTTACCCACATAGCACTACAAATTAAGTTCATCTCAAAGTAAAAATCGAAAAAATAAATTTTACGTAAATTTTATTGTCTATACCAATTTATACGAATCTTAAGAACATATTTCATTTACTTTTGTTGAAGATTTTCATATATTTTCATTTATAACGACCAATTATTGCATACTAGTATACCAGTAGTAGATTCGAAAAATATCAAATGCAATTTATTGGTCATTGGAAAAATCTAAAATTGCGTTAAAAGGGTTTGTATTCTATTCTAGTTCCACAGGTCTATCTGTTTGTTTCTGATAGGTTTATCACCTCGCAACAAAAATATATTTTTCTTTCCCAAATACATAGAAATTATATGTGTCGCCGCAATTTAACCCTACACAAATGTTGTCCGCCTTTTAGAATTCTTACAATCAGCAAAATTCTTGAATGAAAAACCAGAAGATGTCAAAACATTCGTCTAACTATACATTTAATACGGATCGTATACGGTATTCTCCCAATCCAATTCTGTTTTGTATCTAAACCAACGCTCTAGCACAAAGCAAAGACAAAATTACAAATATTTTATTTGGGAAAAATAGTACGAGTATGCAGAAATAAAAAATCTCATTGAAAATTATTTTGTGGTCCTGAAAAGGACCGATTTGTATGAAATTTATATGCGCCTGACGAAGAAATATCAACTTAAGCACGCTCGCCACGGATACGTCTGGCCAGTTGGATGTCCTTGGGCATGATTGTGACACGCTTGGCATGGATGGCGCACAAGTTGGTATCTTCGAAGAGACCGACCAGATAGGCTTCGCTAGCTTCCTGGAGTGCCATTACTGCCGAGCTCTGGAAACGCAAGTCAGTTTTGAAATCCTGAGCGATTTCACGAACCAAACGCTGGAAAGGCAGTTTGCGGATCAGCAGCTCGGTACTCTTCTGGTAGCGACGGATTTCACGGAGGGCAACAGTGCCGGGGCGATAGCGATGAGGTTTCTTCACGCCTCCGGTTGCTGGAGCACTTTTACGTGCGGCCTTGGTAGCCAGTTGTTTGCGCGGCGCCTTGCCACCAGTCGATTTACGAGCAGTCTGCTTGGTACGAGCCATTTTCACTATTCACTTTCAAAGTCTGAATTTGTAATAATCGATCGCGTTTTTTTTTTTTTTTTTTTTTTTTAGCGTTTATTTATTGTCATATTTCATATTACAGTAGCACAGCTTCTGCTTAGGTATATAGTGATACATGAGTGACAAGTTCAAGCTTACTTTATCTTATGTGTGTGTAATTTTACCCTGCGCTTTAAGCTTATCCGGGTGCTAGTCTTTTGGTTACTATTATATTAGAGATCTTATCTTTAGTTTAGGTTATGTTATAGTTAATATCTAGTGGTTTAGTGTTTTCCAGGAAAAAATGGTTAAGTTAAAAACCTGGATAAAGTTTACTTTTGATTTGGTTTAGATCTTATGGGCTAATTTATGTGCTAAGCTTATTCTATTCTTATTTTACTGGGTAAAGGAGGGTGGAGTGGAGGGGAGTATTTACAGTATTTACAGTTGGACGGGGGAGTGGCTTATTGACTGGTATTGAATACCAGACCGTCGGCGTGACTTAGAGATCGATGTCTTCTGTGGTGGAAGATGAGGTTTTCGTCTTCGTCATAGATAATGCCCATTTCCATTAGATGGGTTAAATGATGGGCGGTAAGGAACTCAGTGTGGTAGTTTGCGGGTATTTCCGTTTGTATCGTATTATCTCTTTCGACCAGCTTCTCCAGTATTTGGAACATGAGTCTGTCTATCCTTGTTGTTTTTGTTAATTTATAAAGTCGCTTGTTCGGTATGTAGTGGCCCGTCAATGCGTCTCTGCTTTGAGTGCCGATTGATTTGCGAAGTATTTTTCTTTCGAACCGGCGCAGCTCTTCCATCTCGATAGTCTTTATGTTCATCCACGCTACATAGCCGTACATAAGAACTGGTTGTATTAGTTTTTTGTAGGCTAGAGCGCAGATTCTGGTGATGTGACTGATGTTCCCTTGATTGGTGGATATTGGTTTGTATATGTGCTGGATCTTGTGGATCATTGCACACGCTTTCCTTCGGGCATTTGCTGTGTGTGTCTTGAAGTTCAGTTTTTCGTCGTAGACAACACCGAGGTACTTGAACTGCTTTTCGTATTTAATTGCCAGTCTATCGTAGATGAATAGACTGGGCTGGAATCTCCTCGCATTCCTGTACAGGTAGCCCAATCGTGGGCCCTTAAGGATTGAGCTGGTGCATTTGCTTGCGTTGAGTTTGAGATGCCATTTGGTGAAGTAGTGGCACAGTATGTTCAGGTACCCGTTTAGCTCTCTTTCAGCGATGGCCATTGAACCGGAAGATGCCAGTAGCAGGATATCATCGGCGTAGATTAGTGCTTTAATTTGTGTGGTTGAGCCGGTAGGGACTTGGTAATCGGGCATGTCTGCCAGGTAGATGTTGTAGAGGATGGGTGCCAGCAGTGAACCTTGTGGAACCCCTGCTGGGATCGACCTTATAAGGGACAGATCCGAGTCTTCTGGGCTGCTAACTTGAAATGAGCGGTTTGTTAAATAATTATGGACTATTTTTGTTATGTCTGGGGTGAAATTTAATTGGGTCATCTTGTAAATGAGTCCGCTGGTCCAGACTGTGTCGAAAGCCTTCTCAAAGTCCAGAGCACAGGCTATTGTAGCACGTTTGTGGGATAAATTCTCAAAGATGAAATCATTTGCTGCGATGAACGCATGGTTGGTTGATGATTTCGCTCTGAAGCCATACTGAGTATCTTTCAACGTGCTATGTGAGTCCATGTGCTTCTGTATTTGTTGCATTATTATTTTCTCCAGCAGCAGACTTATTGCAGATAGTAGAGCAATAGGCCTGTAGGCTCGGAGGCTGTGCGGATTTAGTCCAGGTTTGTGAATGGCGATGATTCTGCTGTTCTTCCATTCGGAAGGGAAGTATCCTAAGTTTAGGCAGTGGTTAAATAGTGTTGCTAAATGTTTTAGCATTGGCATATTGCAGTGTTTCATCAGAAAGTTGCTGGTGCCGTCCGGTCCCATGGTCTTCTTTGAGTTTTTTATTTTCAGTATTTCAAAGAGCTCTTCGGCGTTTGTGAATCCGCATTCATGGGACTCGGGCCAGTTACCATCTGCTGTTCTGGAAATATTGAATGTAGTTTTGTATGAGTTTAGTGTTGTGGATGAGGTTTGGGCTATTGTTTCATTGATGGCGATTGTGTGTGCCCTGAGGACAGGGTCTGAGTCGGTGATGTTTTCATTTTGGCTATGGACTCTTTCGAAGGACCACGCCAGGGCATTAATTTTGTGAAAAGTGGAAGTTATATTTTGGGAGGTGCTAAGGTTTAGGTCTATGTCTATTAGAGCTGCTTCCACGTTGGTCAAATGTAGGTCATGAGCTAGTTGTTCTTTTGGTGGGGTGTTTGGATTGAGTGTTTGGAGTGATTTCTGGCTAATTTTACTTGGGTTAATTTTGCGTAGTTTTTGGTCTATTGTTTTCAGTTCTGCGATTTCTATGTGACAGTTTATTTGTATGTCCAGTTCTTTTATAGTGTCTTTGATTTGGTTGCGTTGGTTGGGTGTAAGGGTGGATAGGCGGCGGAAAAGCATGCGTCTAAGTTTTCGTTTTTTTTTGATTAGGTTTAGGCAGTGGGTGCTAAGTCGGGTGAACGGATTGTTTGGGTTAGTCGGGTTTATGGTTATTTTTGGGATTGCCTCATCAGAATCAAGGGCTTTGGCTATTGCATTTGTTAGAGTATGCACGTGGTTATCTATGTCAGCTGTGTTTAAGTTTTGGGTGTTTGGGATGTGTCTTAGGTTCTGTAAAATTATTGTGTTCCAGTGGATCGGGTCTATTTTATGAAAATTGTGTATCGATTTTGGTGGGTTGTAATTTAGTCGGTTCCGTCCTAGATTTATGTTTATGGTTATTCCAAAGTGGTCTGATGGGAAGTCTTTGATGATTTTGCAGCCGTAGGTAAATGTTGAGTAGTCTATTGGGGTTGAGGATGATGTTAGGAAAAAATCTATTGAGGAGTCTCCTGTCTGGTTGGGACGTGTGGGTTCTTGGGTTGGGTGGAGAATTAGGAATGGTTGGTCTGCCAGCCACCGCTCTAAGCTAATTCCTGACGTGTTGATGTGTTCTGGACGGTACGTGGGCCTATTCCAGGCTGGGTGTTTCGCGTTCAAATCACATCCGATTACGAATTGCTCATGATCCTCTATTTGAGCTAGCGAGTGCATTAGAATGTCCAAGTCTGAGCTTAGTAAAGGATGCTGGGGGCGTAGGTAGAGTGAGATTGCAATTAATCCAGTTCTTAT